AGGTCGGACCAAGATGCTGAATCTGGGTCCATTCAGCTCTCAGAACCCTCACTGGCTCAGGAATGAAGATCCTGTTATAGGGCAGGCCCAATATTGAACGGGTTGCCTGGCTGTGGGTCCTCACCCGCGCGCTTAAAAGGGACTTATTAATACTCCACTACAGGCATACATAAAAGATTAATAAAAGGGAATACAAGGGAAAAGGAAATAAGGAAAATGTACAACTCAGGGAGAAAATAGGGAAATAAAATCTTTAATGCGTCCTACCCGATCCGACAACCTGGAAACCCAAAAAAGCACTCTCTGAGCTGGCCGGAGGCTGCGAGCTGGCGGAGAGCCAAAATGGGGGACCCCTCCAAAGCCCACATGTCTGGCTTTATACCAACCTGGCTGCTTAACCCCACCCTCAGGTCCCAGCCACCTTCCCTTTGGTGGTGATGGGATTTGGAGTTCCCAGTGTTTTTGGCTTTGGCCTGGGGTGGGGGTGGAGGCCACAAAGCCTGTATGGAATTAGCTTTAGGACATCCTTTTCCCCCTAATAATCCCACAGATTGAAGATGTCACCCCCATCCTCTCTGTACTACCAGCAAGAAGGGAGGGGGGGAGATCACCATCTGTGAACAATACTCCTCAAACTACTGTTTTCTGTTCAAATAAATTGTCTACATCTAAGCCAAAAAATAAAAAGTAGCGTTGAAGGATCATACAGCATCTTTTCCTGGAGAGAGATTTAGTTGAGTCACGTATCCATGTGGCTTATATTTAGTGAGTAGCCCCTACATCTGGGGCACAGAGGTAGGTACTAGGGTCTGACAGTGGGCAGGATGGACTCCACTGCTGCTGTCATAAGCTTAAAGTAGGGGAGAACCCAGAAAATAACTATCACACATAGTAGTAATAACACTTTTTAAAAAGGAGATGAAATGTTTAAATTATGAGATGTGAGGGGAGCTGTTTTAGATGGGGTTTTGGGAAAGATCTCTTTAAGGAGGGGGCATTTCAGTGAAAGGTAAACAGGAAGGAGCTACCTGGCAGAGCTGGGAAGGAGGGGAGGCCCCTTTGTAGAACTAAAAGCAGGGGCCTCCACCCCCGTGTGATAGAAAGGTGGCGCTGTGGAGATGCCCAGATGAGATTAGTTTGGGGCAGGAGCCAAACCACCCAGTTGTAATGGCAGGAGGACACGGAGCAGGATCTCTGTGACCAGAGCAGACGGGTAAAGGAGAGAGTTCTGGAGCCCTTGGTGGCTTTTCAGGCTTTTATTGGGATTTACCAGGTACACAGCAGGCAGGGGTGCTGAGGGGGCCGGGAGGCTGGCAGGCCTCCCAGCCCCCAGCAAGTCTTCACTCTATCTGGGCTCACTGGCGTCGTCTCACATTCTCTCTGCTTCTCTCTCTGCTTGTGGTTCTGCTCTCCTGGCGTCCTCCGTGACGCCGCCCTTATAAGCCCAGTCTCTCAGCCCAGGTGAATCCCATCTACCTATGCCCACACCCTGCTCCAGGTGCCCGCCATCAGGCATGCATTCAGGACTGCAGGGATCCATCATTAATCCTAATGGCGGGAGGGCAGAAAAGCCTGATGCTTTTTCACTTACCCTACACCAGTTTTAAGAGTTGTTGGGTCCTTGTCATCCACAGCTCAGTTCTACCCACATTTCCCACTTCTGGGTCCTTAAACCCCGACCATCCAGAACCGTGGTCAGGCAGAGAGCTGCTACGCGAGAGACATTTGCCCTGAGACCCACCGGGTTTTGGGCCAACTTCTCTACTGTTGCCTCAGTTTTCCCCACTGAGAAATAGTTAAGTCATTTGCCCCCAAACATCCACTTTCCACTGAGCCACCACCTGAGGCTTAAACAAGAAGCTGCCATCTCTGAGCACCTTTTTTCCTCTTCACTTCCTGGACCAGGTGGGAGGAAGAACTTGCACCTTGTGGGGGTGAGGTGGGTCCGTAGCCACCACTAATAAAACATTGATTCCCTAATAAAAGAGATCCGACGGGTTTTTGGTGAAGTTCCGGGTTTTTTGAGAAGTCCCGGGCGCTGGAGCTCAGGATCACATGTCTCATTTTAGCCGGAACGCAGGCACCTGGGCGGTAGGGCGGCTGGCCATGGGGGAGCAGGTGTGGCAGAGCAAGCAAGCGAGCTGGGGGCCCCTTCCTCCGGCCCTCTTTCCGCCTCCCGCTAGCTTTGTTCCTGTGCTGATTATTGCTTTATTACTGTTTTCAGTCAGATATAATTCCGGCATTTTCTATAATCTTGATCTTTTCATTGATACCAGATTTTTATACAAAGATTTGTATATAAAATGATTATGTACCCACCAGAATACATTCCCCAGTAATTAGAACGTTTAAAATGCAACTAACACTCCTTCCCCACATTCCTCATTTATTACTTCTGAAAGTGTTTTGTGATTTTTGGGGGGATGTGTTTACAAATCCAATAACAATTCTCATCTAGAGTTGCAAAACACGAAGCCATTTTGAACCCAGACAGATGGCAGCTAAATGAAGTTTAATTAAAGAATGAGTGCTTTGAATCAAATCACTTTAAAAAGTACAGTACACTGAGATTCTGGAGAGGTTGCATAAACAGCATCTGGGCTCATCTGCAGAAAGCAGGGCCTGTTTGCAGGAAATACCCAGGAAGTCATCCCCATCTGATCAGGGGCTGAGCAGACACAGCGTGGGCAAAGCGAGCGGGTGGGTGCTCAGTGGCCCCCAAGTGCGTCCTCTGCCCTCTGCTCGGACACACCTCCCAAAGCCCAGAGCCCCTGAGACAGGAGGGAAAACTGACTCAGGAAAGCTTCTGCTTCAAAAGTTTTGACTGCGGGGCAGGGCGTCCCCCTTCAGCCTTTATGGAAGTGTTATAGGACAGCCCCGATATTGAACGGGTTCCTGGCTGTGGGTCCTCACCCGCACGCTTAAAAGGGACTTATTAATACTCCACTACAGGCATACGCAAAAGGTTAATAAAAGGTTTAATATAAAAGGTTTATTTACAAGGGAAAAGGAAATAAGGAAAATGTACAACTCAGGGAGAAAATAGGGAAATAAAATCTTTAATGCGTCCTACCCGATCTGACGACCTGGAAATCCAAAGTCACTCTCCGAGCTGGCCGGAAGCTGCTAGCTGGTGGAGAGCCAAAATGGGGGACCCCCCCCAAAGCCCACGTGTCTGTCTTTATACTCACTTGGCTTCTTAACCCCACCCTCAGGTCCCAGCCACCTTCCCTTTGGTGGTGATGGGATTTGGAGTTCCCAGTGTTTTTGGCTTTGGCCTGGGGTGGGGGTGGAGTCCACAAAGCCTGTATGGAATTAGCTTTAGGACATCCTTTTCCCGCCTAACAGAAGTAAGTCGGGCATCTAGGCGTGAGGGTTTGGTGCACCAACCCACTTAGTGCCTTTGTCCTAGGGACAAGTCCCTTCCACCTGAGCAAATAAGAAGAGATGGAGCAAACAGAAGAGATGGAGGGGCTCTGCAGGCTGCAGCGCCAGAGGACCAGGGTTCCCGTGGCCCAGGTTACTGCCCCTTCCCGCATGGCCTTGACGCGGGGCAGACCCGCAGGCCCCGTTTTGCGCACGCATATCCCGGGCTCCGCGCTCCTCGCGCCCTCCCCGGCGGGCCCCCTGGCAGGAGCCACTTCCGCCGCCGACCGCAGATCTGAGCAGCAGGGGCGGGGGCGGCCGGGCCGGTCTAGACGATCTGCTGGAAGGCGCCAGTCGGCCGCCAGGCTGGCTGCGGGGGCGCCAGGTGGGTCGGTGCCCCAGGCCGGCCGCCTGTCAGTGCGCAGTTGCCGAGAAAAGGGGACAGAACCGAGGGATGAGATGCAGGGTAGGGGGACAGACCTGGAGGAGCCTAGAACGCTGGGCCAAGAAGTTTGCACTCAGCATTGCAAAAAAGCAGTGAAGTTTCGGTACAGAGAGCCACGGGAGTAGGTCGGGGCCGGGGAGGGAGGGAGGGAGGGAAGGAGAGAGGGAGGGGGTGGACTCCAGGAGGCAGGGCGGACAGAAGGCCAGGTGGCAGCTGCAGGGCCGTCTTGGGTTTCATAGTCAGTTTCTGCCTTGAGGGTGGTCAATGTAGGGAATCCTGGCCCCCCTGATTCTGGAGAGAAAAAGATCCCTCGCAGGGCAGGGCTGGCTTGAGGAGGGATTGGAGGGCTCTGGTGGGGCCTGGGGACACTGGGATGTCAGGGGAGGTGGTGGCACTGTTAGGGACATCCTTCCCCACCAACGGCACCAGCAGAGAGAATAGTTTGGGCTGGGCGTGCCAAGCTTGTGGTTTCTGGCTTCTTGCATCTTTCCAGGAAGCAGAGTCTGGAAGGCTGGGACAGAGCCTTCCCTCCCAGCTCTGGGCACTGGAGCTGACCCAGACAGAGGGCTGGCAGAAGCTCCTGGACTGTTTGGATGGTGTATCCAGCTGACTCAGGAGGCAGTGCCTCTAAGTCATAGGCCTCGCTCTGGATCTTGGCTGATCCTGCAGTCACCCTGACCCCTCCACTCCCCAGCACTCCCCGTCCAATTGACCTCCAAGTCCTGCTGGCTGACCTCCTTGTTAATTCTCCACCTGGCTCCAACCATGGCCAGCTCTGCCTAAAACAACTGCAAGAGCTCCCCATGTGGTCTTCCAGCTTCTCCACCGTCTTCTAATGGTTCTTCACTAAAGGAAGGCAGATCCTTCCAAAACTGCAGACCCATTTGTGGTTCTCATTCCCCTCCCCTCACCCCTTACTAGAGATTGCCTTTGTCCTAGGGACAATTCCCTTCCACCTGAGCAAATAAGAAAAACAATGCAGATAGTCTGAGTGCACAGCTGGGCAAGCAGAACCTAGGCTGCATTTCTGACCCCACTTACCCCTTCAGGTCAGTACCATACATACCCCTCTACCTCCCCACTAGCCAACCTCCTAGTGTCCTCTTCTTGTTCCTGTAACACTGGAGTTCTCAGTCTAGCCTCCCTGCCTTTGCACATGTACCCTGCCCTTCTAAAACACCATCTTTCCCCTCCCCTCCCTGCTCTGTCCTGCCAACCCCAATTCGCTCTTCAGGTCTCAGCTTCTAAAACCCTTTCCTGATCCTGCACTAGGTGAGGTGGCCCTGCCTTACGCTCCCAGGGCACCCTGCTCTTCCTTGGCAGGACGTCTATCCCAGGGCACACCTAGACAGGTGTGCCACCAGGAATGAATGAGTGAATTGATGAGTAGCTGTCACCTTTCTACATGCCCCCAAATGGTCTTTCTGAGATAGCTTGGACCCATCATTCAGGTACCCTGGGCTCAATCAAAAATCTGCCCGCTCTAAGAAATCCTTGGCCAAGAGTATATTAGCATTAACGTTGTTCCAGTATATACTCTTATCAACAGCACATAAAACTATCTATTATACTGAGACTTTAACAACATTTAACTCTGAATGAATTAAGAATGATTATGATGGATGAAAAAGTATATCTACAAAAGTGTTGCTTTAGTTACATTTCCTTGGTTTCCACTGAGCTTGTGCAGCATCTCATAGGCTTATTATAGATGCATATTATTTCTTTCCTTATAAATTCTCCATTAACAAATTTTGGTTCTTTTCCTTATTGAGTCATAAGATACTAACTTGCATGTTATGTATGTTGGAAAAATATTTTCTCCCAGTCTGTTATTCACCTTTTACAAGAAATTTTAAAGTTGTGTTTATTTACCTCTATGAATGTTTTCTTTTTGTCTCCTGGGTTTTGTGTTTTACAGAGTTGTATCTCTTTCTGCATAGCTTAACAACAACAACAAAAAAACCCATACACCCTTTCAGGTCAAACCAAAAGCCTCTTCTCCAAATGCTTTCCCTACAGCCATGTAGAGTCTATGCTTGAGTATCACACTCAACACTTTCGACTTCACCTGAGTTATGGGGGCCAAGAGGGCCCCCAACATGGAATCCTGGAGGCCAGGGAGGGGTTTCTGGCATTTTGCCTTCCGTGCATGGCCCCAGCAGCAGAAAAGCGAGTAAAATCTGCACCCAGACACCAGGGCCCAGGGGTCAGGGACACCATCTCTGCTCTGGCAAGGAAGGAGAAGCCTTGGGGGACCACCTGAGCTCGTCTTCCTGACCGTGTTCCTGGAGATGGCTCGCCAGCCGCAATTCCAAAAGAACATGCAACAGTTAGGAGGAAAGGCAACGCTTTTTTTTTTTTTTTTTTTTTTTTTTACTTATTTAAAAAGGCCTTGGTGGCAGGAATATAGTGTAAAAATCATTGGAAAAACTAAAAGGCATTGATACATATCCGAATATACACTTTGTACATAAATTACATATCCTTTAGTCTTTCTGAGTGAGGTCCTGATTCAGCACTGAGGTCTAGTAATTCAGAGGTCCCGGGAGCTGCACATTTAGGCCAGCATAGTCCACCATGTACATTGGCCATTGCTAGAAAGAGGGGGACAAACAAATGGCTGGGTTAGGACACCAAGTGATGAGGAAAGAACACCAGAACACTTAGCTCTGCTTCCTTTGCTACTATGTATTTTGAGGCTGCTGAAGGCCCAGGAGGGAATGTGACCCAGGCAAGGTCAGGCAGTTTGCCTGTGGCCATGAGGCGGGGCTGAAGCCTTCTGACCTATTCCCACCTGTATCCTCGGGCTAATCATGTAGATGGGATTGGAGGACCCAAGTGAGGGCTGGCTCAGAACAGGTGGATACCTCACAAACTCAGGCTCCTCCAAGTCTCGTGCTCCAAAGAACCTGTCCCTGTTTCTCAGGGTGTAAGGAGCTGGTGACACTCTGTGGGTGCTCTTATACCTAGGTGGGGGGAAAGGCAAGACTGGGCTTTTGGATTCTCTAAGAAGAGGTACAGGCGAGGAGAGCACCCGAGGTGAGCACAGAGCCTGATTCTGACTGCTCAGGAACCAGGAGTCTGCTCTGGCCCTGCTTAGGACTGTGGAGGGTTCCTTTCCTCTCTGGCTGGCCCATCTACCCAGTGGGGTTGGGGCTTCTTGCTCGGGCGCCTGTGGGTAGGGCAGGCAGATGTGTCTGCAGCCCCCACATTCTAGAATCCCACTCAGAACCCCGTGTCTCCCAGCCCATAAAAGCCTGCTCCCAAAGTAGATGACCACGCCCAACGTGGGGCAAAGACCACAGAAAAGAGTGGCCAGGTGCCGATCTATGCAATTTTACCACGAGAGAGAGCTGGTTGGTTGATGCCACGGACTCCGGGTTAGAGGACGAGGAAGAGGAAGACGAGGAGGAAGAGGAGACCGAGTTCCCTTCAGAGACCCGCTTCCTCTTGCGCTTGGGAATGCTGCTGTCTTTGGCTGGTGGGAGAAAAGGTTGCTGACACCGGAGGCCAGGGCCCTTGTGTCCTGACTTCCCGACACTCCTGGAGAAGGCCTTTGCTTTCAGGGCTCACGTCCCCTTCCCAGCCTTCAAAGCTCAGGACCCACGAGGCCCACCAATAGCTGACACCCATCTCTCCAGCTTTCTTTCTAACCAGGCCCTGCAGCCTCCTCTCCTGCTCACCTAACTACCTCTGCTAACTCAAGACCCTCATCACCCAGGTACCCTTCCTCAGCAGGCTCACTGCAGGTCCAGATCCTCTTATAACTTCCCTGGGCCATCTAGTCTGTGAGGATCCCTCCTCCCTAGAAGTCCCAGAGACCCCAGGGTCTTGCATCTCTTGGTGAGTTTGGCCTCCTGAACCATGCACATTTGGGCCTGGGGAAAATCACTCAATGGCCCTGCAACTTCATTCACTGAGTGAAATGTAAGATCCTAAGGGTTGCCCCATTAGATAATGTACCTGACACCCAGGAAATACTCCAGAAACTGAGAACTGATATATTGCTGCTACTGTTATTGCCAATGTATGATGACTTTGACCTGACAATAACAGTTCGCAGGCACAACCAGTGGACAGGCAGTGTCCCAGTGGGAAGAAACTGGTTTAGAGTCAGAAATACCAAGCCAAACTCCACTGCTGCCACTTAATAGCTGTGTTACCCGGGGCAAACTGATGACCCTCTCTGAGCCAAATGGGGAAAACAGTGTAATGTGAGGCTCAATGATTATGTACATGAAATGAGCCAGTATGATGCCCAGCACAGAGCAGGACTCAGAGGTGTTTTATTGCTGCAGGATTAAATTGATACGAATATATAATATGTACAAAAAAAGATCTGCAACTGTGTGCTACATAAGCAGGGTTCTGATTTGACTGAGTGGACAGGCTACTGCGTAGCTGCCTAACACTGCTCACCAGAAGGGCCTTAATTACAGTGTAATAGCAGGCTGGGCCCAGGCAGGCCACAATCCAGCTGGTAAAGAAAAACAGAGCCTGGGGGTTTGTGATGTTATAAACAGAGACCCTGGGAAACAGAGGCAGGAGGAGTGCAGGCTGGGAGACAGAGAAGACAGTGGTGGAGGGTCCACCTGAAAAAGAAGTCAGAAGTGCTGACGTAGTGCTGTGGCCAACCTGGAGCCTCCCTGAGACCTTCAAGATGTCCAGTGCTTCTCTGCCCTTGACTTGTCAGAAGGTTCCAAACCTCGCCACCTCCCTATCCTGAGATCTACTGCCACACCTGACCTTGTGGGTACAGGATAGAAGCCCCCGGATGTGGAGTTTCAGGTGATTCTGGACTCCGCTGGAGTTGGGGCCTCAAGTCTCAATCTGGGTGGGTGGCCTGGCTGAGTCCCGTCACCATCCCACCACACTGGGGCCTGTGGTCCCACTCATTCTGTGGCCTTGGCAACACCCTTCTTCTCTCTGGGCCTCCCTTTCCCAGCTGTGCAATGAGAGGTGGGGCTAGATCAGTATCGATTAATCAGAGGTTGATTAATCAGAGGTGTACCTCCCAATCATCCCAGGGTGCACACACCCGTAAGTCCTATCAAACACTTCTCAATCAGAGCCATCAAACCACATGGTCTGTCAAGTTCCTGCCAACCTAATGGTTCCAAAAGACCAGAGACTGGTGCAGGTGTGTGCCCTGCAAACACAAGCAGAATCCAGGGGGGCTCAGCCAGTCTTGGCCAGTACTTGCTCTCTCACCCCTTCCCAGGTGGCTACTATGATCCTATCTGGTGTCCCCTCCTCCTAGCTCCAGCCTGCCTCCCATCCTCTCCCTGATCTGATGTGCTCAGCATTGCTGTGGCAGGGCCCCCTCTGAAGAACCCCACAGCCTTCCTGGGGCCTTCTGGAGACACTGGCCCTGCAGATGGAGATCTCAGGCTCCTTTGCAGATGTAGTAGGAGGAGGAGGAGCTATACTTTTCTCCAGGTGGTCAGTCATCCAATTCGTGTCCACCAGTTTTGCACCCCAAGAGGTAGAAGGGTAGCCTCTTTTAGCCTCCCACTTACCTGGCACCTTGGCGTCATTGCAGATTTCTGCAAAAGGTCTGAAAAAGAAAGAAATCAGATGGCAGTTAGAAAAGAAGGTTTCCTCTCCTCCTTACATGCTCCCTGAATACAAGCAGTATCTCTAGTAAGATGAGATATTGCTGCTGGAACATGAGTCAAGTAAGACCCTGATGAAAATAATCAGCATCCCAATCAGAGCAGGTGATGACCTGGAGTTTCAGTGCTGTGCCAGGCAATGCCTCCAGAACCCTGAAATATATTCCTGCGCTTTAAGCCTCCAGGCTGTGGCACTCTGTTATCGCAGCGTGAACAGATGAGGAGACCCGGGTCTGGATCCCTGCTGACCCACTGTGACTCACACTGTCCCTCCTCTTACTCTGGGTCATTTCATCTTTAAGGGGAGAGGAATGGCAAGCTAGCCCATGTCTGGGGTTCTGCAAGTGTCACCCCCACTCCAGGCTGGGTCTGCTCTGGGGATGCCTGAAGGCCAACAGCACCCTCCCCTGACATCCCTTCCCCCCCAGCTGGGAGCACTCACTGGAGTTGGTTGATGATGACCATGCGGACATGTTCCCGGGCCTTCAGGATCTTCTCCAGCCGGTGGATGTCATATGTGTTGGGGTTGCGGAAAGGGATATCATCGGGCAGGCCTGTGACCTCCACGGCGTCTGGGCTGTCCCGGATCAGTTTGTAAGGGACCAGCACAGGCCGGTTCAGGCCCAGGGCCTCACCTAGAGGGAGAGTCAAAGACAATCCCTGTTAAAAGTCAAGCCATGTGGGAAAAGGGCTAGAATCTGGCACGCCCAGCTCAGTAGCCGCCATACTCAGAGAGTTTAGAAGTCACACATGTACCTCGTCTCTTTTTATCTGATTAGTAAAATCAAAAATCTAACAGCCAAGGCTGATGATGAGACACGTACCCTCCTACAGCCATGGTGCAAGGACTGGGTATGAGCACACACCTAGCATTGACCAAGGAGGACTTGATGTCTGCTTGCAACCCACGACTATTATGTCAGAGAAGGTTAAGAAAGTCCTAGTTAGGGTTGTTCTTTTTTTTTTTTTTTTTTTTTTTGATGGCTGAAATGATATATGTTTGGGATGTATTTTAAAGTACTGAAAAATCAAAGTCAGTGTGTGGAAATGGCTTGAATAGGATTAGCAAAATGATGATCATCATAGAAGCTGGTTTTGGGGTCATTCTTTCATGCTCCCTGCTGTTGCATATGATTGAAAATTGATTCCAAAATAAAAAGCAAAAATGACAATGCCATAAACACCAGCACAGTCACTTCCCACTGCTCTTGAAATGAAACCTGAATTCTTCTTCCTGGCCTGCCCAGTACTCCCCACTAATCAGAGCCTCCCCCACCTGCTGGCTCATTTCCCTAGACCCCCAGCTGCTCCCTCCACCTGGGGATTGTTTTCTCTTTCTTGACATTCAAGTCTCAGCTAAAAATCATGCCCTCTTCTGAAGGGCTTTCCTGTTCACAGATCCAGAGGCCTGGCACCACCCCTGCTTTCCTTATCACATGACTGCATTTACTTCTTTTCCTTATCACTCTCTGAAATCCTCCCCCGCAAAAAAAAAAATTACTTTCTGTCTCCTCTGCTACAATGCAAACTGTAGATGATAATACTAAATTCATCAGAGATAAAACGCAATGTCTGTAGAACACTTAGGTCAGTCTGTCTGGCTCTCAATGATCTAGAAAGTGCTCAGTCAATTGTAGGTATATTATTATAGTTGTCCCGACTGGGGCTCTGCACTGGCACCCTGGGACTTGGGCTCTGCACTGGCAGCCTGGATGCCTTCATCTAGCCCACGTCCATCTCCCTCAGTAGACTAATCTGAGCCCTGACTTGTTCTGGAGTCTGCAAGGTCACATGCATGTTGGGGAAGCTGGACTCTGCAGGAACAAGTCCAGGGCTGTGAGCCTGGGCCTGGGGAGTACCACAACTGACTGCGGCTGGTCGTGGTATGCACACCCCAGATGGAGGGTTCTTTCCTTTCTTTTTTTTTAAAGATTTATTTATTTATTTATACAAGCACTGGGTACAGTCAGAAGCGCAGGAGGGTGAGAGAATTCACCAGAGCCAGAGCGGGGAACAGAACAGGCAGTCTGATGAAACACACTGCTGAGGGGAGCAGCGGGTAGCAGGAGAGGCCTGAGCCCATATGGGACCCTCACTGACGGCCGGGGATCGAACCGAGGCTGCAGGCAGCTTTGCAGCCCAGCGCTCAACCGCAGCGCCACCAGGGGAGGCCCCGGTTCTTTCCTTTCTTGGACAGGGAGAATAAGAGAGCCGCTGCCACCAGTCATGGGCTGAGCAACTGTGACCAGGGAGCAGGCAGGCCAGCTGGGCAACTGGAGGCCAGGCTGGCTGCAGAGGTGGGAGGGGCAGGCAAGGAGGGCTGGTGCCAGGACTCTGCCCCAGGACTCGGCTCAGGCACTGACCGTATTTCTCATTGAAGAGCTCCTTCACCTGCTCCCGGAGGATCACCTTTTCCCCTAGTCTGTTGGCATCATCTTCATCTGCAAGAGGAAGATAAGGGGAGTGAGTTCTGCACAGGCTCAGCCACTGGACTTCTGTGTGGCATCCCTCACCTGCTAGAGCTTTCTCCCCAAGCCCTGCCCCCCCCATACCCCCTGGCTGCCCTGGCCTCAGTTGTCTGTGTAGCAATCCACCTGTCCGTCCATCCCACATTCACTAGCAGGCACAGAGCATCCCGAGGAAAGGGAGCCAGGGACTCTCCCCACACCATCACAGCACCCTCCCAGAAGTGTGACAGGGACACCTACCAAGTGACATGGGGCACACGTGAGGATGCCCACCCCTATCTGTTCAAGTCTGGGGAGACCCACGAAAGGGAGGAGGTTTTCTCCCCTCCAGCCCCCAATCTGGCCTGTTTCATTCCAAAACTAATTCTTCACAAAAAAATTGAACACTTTTCCTCCAAATTAAAAATAGAGGTGGGTAGAAAGCCAAAAGCTGCTATAGGGAATGTAGGTAACCCTTCTGAGCCCTGAAGCTGAGCTGGAGAATCCCATGATGCACCTGGCCCAGAGTGTGTCCCCTGGGGAAGCAGGTGTGTAAGTGGTTCTCAGAAGGCAGGTCGGGGTGTGGGATGGATGGGGTGGAGTTGGGGAAAGATACCTTGGCTCAAGGGCTGGCCCATGTCCTACCACCACAGGGTGAGAAGTCATGGTATGCTGGATGGGTAGAAGCACAGGCGGTACCTGGGTAGACTGAGGTGATGGGTCTAGAAGCGGTACAGTCCCCATGCAAGGTCTTTAGTGGGCTGGCATGATTGTGCTGACCATCAGGAACTCACCCTGGCTACTTGTACTGTTCTGAAAGGGAGTACCTCAGTCTACCATGAGATAGCAAACCTATTCTGGGGGAGTGGCTGAGCTTCCCTGAATCCAGTCTGCCTGTAGAGGACATCGAGAGTTGCAAATATTTCAGAATGTTCTCCATTTGGAAATGCCATAGTTAGGGCTCAACATGGAGTGAGTGTGTGTGTGTGTGTGAGTGTGTGTGTGTGTGTCCTCAATATACCTACTTAAAAGCCTACATAAAGCAGGGCAGTAGGGAGTACCCAGCATCCACGGCAGGGAAGGCCCCTGATCCGATAGAAGGCAAGTTAATCTTGATTCTAATCCTAACGCTGTGTGATGTTTGAAAAGATATTTGACTCTCTGGGCCTCAGTTTCCACAGCCCTGGGAAAGGGATGGCTGGGCTATAGTGGGGTGAGGCCCTCAAGTGGGAATCCTGACCTGCTGGGAGGATCCAGAGCTTTCACATATAAAAAAGTTCAAGGCCTCTTGCCATCAAAGTCAAGTTGTCGATGTTATTAACTAGATTAAGGCCTCAATTATCTTGGAATCTCATATGAGATTTTTACATATGAGAATCTTCCAGATAATGAAGTTTGTTCTCTTAAATTACCTCGGTTTGTCTGACCTATTTTGGGTAGGATACTTTCTCAAATGCATCAAGTACCCTTTTCTCATTAAGAACCTGGTAGTGGGGAAGGTCATCCTCATGACCCAACCATCCAGAAAGTGCTGCTGAGCCTGCTCTGCCAGGACAGCAGTGACCTGCTACGTACTGTGCTGGACCCCACAGGCCCATTCTGACGGTCTTTGTTCTGCCTCTTCCTGCTTATTCTAGTTTTTCAGTTTCCCCCATCTCTCTATTGTCTGCCCCAGCAGCTCTCCTCTCGCTGCTTCTAATCTGCTGTCTTGTAGGAGGATTAACTGAATTTTGCCCAGGGGGAAAGAAAGCAACCAAGTTTATTAAATCACAGCCCTGCTCTGTACACAATTTTAACCCAATTGGCTCGGGGTGATGCCTGGGGTGGCCCCACAGCCCTCTCCTGGGGCAAAGTACAAGAACCTTGAACAGCCTTGGCCTTTTCCCACCTAGTTGGATGCCTGCCGCTCAAGTATGTTGCTAATCATGATCATAAACAGCACAGAGGCAGCCAGCAGCAAGGAAGGGCCCCTTAGAGGGCAGGAACTGATCTGTGAGGTAAGGTGAATAAATATTCCTCTGCTCCAGTCTCCAGGGCTGCTGCGGAGCCCCTCCTTCTGCCAGGCCTGGGCTGGGAGTGCAGACATAATGCAGACCCTGAAGATCATAGAGGGGGAGATATCTATGGTGTCCCCACCATGAGGAAGAGCTGCCTCATGAAGGCAGCAGGGGCCACTGAAGTGGGGAATCAGTCACGCCCCTGCCTCTGCAGCTTGCACAATGCCCCCTTTTCCTGGCACCAGTTTCATCAAGATAAGAAGGTGCATTAATTTAACCCCTTCTTGGAACTACACATAGCTGCAGTGGGAATCCTATCACCTCTGTCTTACAGACAGAGACACTGAAGCTGGGAGAAGGATGGCCATGCTGCAGTGGGGGGAGTTCGTGCCCAGGCCAATGATCTCACGTACCCATGAGAAAGCTTTGTGCAGTGCAAACAAAACATATTTCAGAGTGATAATGGTCCTCTTAGAGAGAGCAAAACCAAGGAAACAACACAAATGATCAAAGACAGGAGGACAGATGAATCAATCCTGTTAGTCTCTGAGTGATTAACAATTGAGAAGAGTCATCAAGCGGATTTCGTTGTTGTGCAAACATCACGGAGTGTAATTACACACACCTAGATAGGATAGCCTACTCTGGACTCAGCTGTATAAGGAGACCACGCTCCTACATGCAACCTGTCATTGACAGAAATGCCATTATGAGCGCATGACCCTCATACAATGGAATATTATAGAGCAGCGAAAACTGAAGCTCAGCTACACATTTTAACACCATGTTACATAATGCTGAGTGACAGAAGAAAGTCCCACACTTGATACAATAGGATGTTATACTTACAAAAATTAAAAAAAAAAAAACCCACATCAAAAAACAATTTCGGTTTAGGCAAATATTACATACAAACAGTCATTAAAAAAAAAATCTACCTCTGAACAACAATCCTATTCTGGGGGAGAAGAGCTATAAAAGACATTTTGGAGAATTTGAATATAGACTGTACATTAGATGATAGGGAGTTATTATGTTTAATGAGCATTGTAATAGTATTGTGGATATGTAAAAGAATGACATTGTTCTGAGGAGATGTGGGAGATGTGTGTTAAAATATTTAGGCGTGAAGAGACAAGATGTCTGCAACTTACTTCAAATGGAGAAAGACAGAGAGAGAGAGAGAAATAAATGGGGCGGGGTGTGTGCGTGCGTGAGAGAGACAGAGACAGAAGGAAACTTGGCAAAATGTTAAGAATTAATGAGTCCACAGAAAGGATATGCAGGTAGTCATTATACTATTCTTTCATTTTTTTCCTGCAGTTTTAAGATTTTAGAGGGAAAAGCCAAGAGAACAATATATATGAAATTCAGATTATTTGTTCTGGGGAGAGAGGGGGAGGCAATGAAGAAAGAACATGGGTGCGTGGGTGTCACTGGTGCTGCTCCAGCTCTGAGTGGGGGTGGGGGAGCTCACGAGCATTCATTATAGTGTTTATTGACAAGTGAACAAACAAGCAAGAGGCACTATGACTGAAAGATTAAAAATAAATGAATATCAAGCACAGTGTGGAACCCTCGATTGGACCCTGGAACACAAGGAGGACACCAGTGAAGAGCTGATCAAATGTGAATAGTCTGAAGCTCAGTTAACTGTATTGGATCAGGGCCTCCCTGGTGGTGCAGGGGTTAAAGACACAGCACTATCAAGCTACCTCCAGCCATTGTGACATGAGTTCGATCCCCAGCCAGGGAGCTGAACCACATGGCACAGCAGACCTCTCCTGTCTGCCCTGCTGCTCCCCTCAGCAGTGTTTCAGTAGCTCCGCCTGTTCGGCTCCCCACTCTGTCTCTGGTGAATCCTCTTACCCCACCCACTCTGGCCTACACTCCAGTTCTTGTATGCATAAATAAATAAACCTTAAAAAAATTGTACTGGATAAATCCACTTTAATTTCTGAGTGCTGACACATGTGTCATGGTTATGTCAGACATTAACATCCTGCATGGGTGAAGAATATTTGGGAACTGTATGATATTTGTCATTCTTTATAAATTAAAAAGGTATGTCAGTCAATTAATTAATCAATCTAATCAATCTTTCCATGCAGGGATCGGAGGAAGAGCAGGTCATGAACCATGCATCTTGATTATCTGATCTGGGGTCTCCCTTGTCAGGGCATGAGGTAGGGAGGGATAGAAGGGAAGATAAGGGCTCCTCATTGGAGCCTACACTACAGCCAATTACAGAACCAATGGCTGACATTGTCCTTCATTACCTGTTGGGTCACTATTATAGTCCCAGCACCTACCATAACGCCCACTGCATAAGCACTCCCTAAAATCATTCAAGAAATGAAGGTGTCACGGGCCTCCATAGTGGCGCAGGTGTTAAGACACAACCTATGAAGCTGTCTGCAGCCTCTGCAGCCTCTGCAGCACGAGTTCCATTCCCCAGGCAGCCAGGGAGCAACCCACATGACGCAGCAGACCTCTCCTGATTCGCCTGCTGCTCCCCTCAGCAGTGTATTTCAGTCAGTCTGCCTGTTCTGCTCCCCACTCTGTCTCTGGTGAATCCTCTCACACACCCCACCTCTGGCTTGTACCCCAGCTCTTGTATGCATAAATAAATAAATCTTTAGGAAAAAAAAAAGAAATGAAGGTGTTATTAGGTCTTTGCATGGACTCATTCACTTAATTCTTCCAACAATCCTGAGTCCATGTCTATTTTACAGTTGTTGAAAATGAGAAACTGAGGCACAGAAGTGATCCAGTGATGCTGTGATTAAGTGGGGGAGCCAGGACCCTACCCCCGACTTCTAATCATCTCCAGTGCTGCCTTTTTCTGTCCCGCCTCTAAGGACAGCAGGAGGAATGGCCAAATCTCAGATATGTTATCAGGCCAACCACCTAGTAGGGCCTTTTTCCACCATTGGGGGAGAGCAGTCCATGCTGCAATTTCTTCTCCTTCTCTCTGCACCTGCAACTCCCAAACTC